ATCTTTAATGAGGGTGGTCCATCCAGCCGAAGCTGATCATTAGGGACCCAGATGTGTATAAGAGACAGTATATATATATAATATAATATAATATAAAATCCAGAGAGTGAATGTTTACTAAATATAGATAAATAATAATCATAAATAAATTTGAAATTTCAAATAGTCGTTGTTTTGTCAAATTTAAAATCTAAAAGACAACGCCTTAATCTTCCCAGCTAACGATATCACGTTCTAAGAACGTTGTAATAACGTTACAGTTTGGTGATAAAAACGTTATTTTGTAGAACCATATTTACGTACTTATAACCTTATTTCACAACCATACAACGTTTGAAGGAACGTTCTTACAACGTTGTGTGAACGTTATTTTGTGACATACCTAACCACTACGTTCGCAAACAATATAAGAACGTTTTGTGTTTGCTGGGCTGAATCTATTCTCCCATCTTTTAAACTTCAATTCTCACTCTTCTGGCAATGTTAAATGTGGTAATTCCAGATGCTAAGTCTGCAATTTCATATGCACCTCTGATCCATCCACTCATGTGTTAATATATTTAATAATTCTAGTTAAATTCTGCATCTATGAATCCAGATGTGGTTCCGTCAGACCATGAAGTAACGGTTTAAATGAAATACAATTGGCGAGCAGAAGAATATTTTAAGTACAGTAATTAATAGCAGAATAAGCTAATATAATGATGAGAGGCAACTAGCAAAACCATTGAGCTTACAGAATAAACTTTGTAAATTGTTTGCTTTATATTTAATTCATGGACTATTTGTTAGAACATGTTTTTTTTTATGAAAATGTTATCCATGTAAAATATGTTTGTAAATAAATAAATATACCATTTTCGGGAAATTTGAAATACACATTTTTATCAGGAATTTTCCGTATGTATCCCGCATAGATTGTACAGTATAAGTTTGTAACATCATTACATGATTGCAATTTATGTAAAACAAATTGAATAATGAATGAATAGAAGAAAAAAAAAACGTTTGTGACTAATTTTATTGTAATTTGTTAATAAAGTAAATTGAACGTTCTTTATTAGATAATGGCTATTCCATCATATAGATTCAACAGTGTCTACTATGCATATGTTATGACGAATAATCAATAATGCTAACAGCAATTGTGAAATTATAATATAAATAATAGGCCTAAATAAAGAGAACGGTCAAATAGATGATCGTGTTTACAATTTATTTGATTTGACAGCTCAGCTCGGGTGATGAAGGGAAAATGCAAGAGTTGCTCTCATCAGCAATCGCTGGTTTTTTTTCCCGGAAGTATTATATTAAAATACCCAATGATTGCATAGCAGTTATAATATAATATATATAATAAAAAGGCAAATATAATATATTATAATAAAAAGGCAAAAAATACGAACTTTCAAGAAAATAGATCTGCCCTTATTGAACCTACCTAACCCGTTGGTACTGATGAATGCTGCAACCAGAACATGGAAGGGAACATAGAGAACAATACAGACTTCATTACGTGTTGTGTGTTTCCTAAAATGTTGTCAATTCCTTTCGGATTTATAACACTTTTTATTATTATAGGAAATGTATTTGTAATTGTTTCTGTCATTAGAATCCGGTCATTGCGTCAACCGTGTTACCTAATTCTTGCTAGCATGGCGTTGGTGGATGTATTAACAGGGATTATTGGCATCGTAGTTGTACTCCGTCTTGCTCTTCATGGACGGTTTTTGTACCTTGTAGAAACAGTAGAATGGATTCTTCAAAAATGATGGCATGGTCTATAGTCCGTCTTTATTTCATCATATATATTTAGTTGGAGAGAGAGATTTTGCTATCATGCATCCATATATGTATATTGTGAAAGTACACAATAGATCGGTAGTGATATTTCTAGTAGTTACGTGGATCATAGGACTGCCCTGGTTCGCTATAATCCTCTCACCATTGTACAGCGAGAATGCTTATAACTAGTTTAATCTCATAACCAAGATAGCTCTTATAATTCCAACGTACGCCTGCCATCTGCGTATATATTGCGAAGCGAAAAGAAAAGCTCGTCTGGTTGTGTCATCTTCAACCAGTCAGGCAGTACAGCCCAAGAGAAGCGACTTCAAAGCAGCGCGGGTAACTACAATAATACTTGGTCAGTTATAACAAAAAGATTACAAAAAGTTATATAAAAAATAGTTAGTAGTGACCAAAAAGGATACATTGAAGGCCGTTTTGGCGGCGAAAATAAGAAATTAAAAAAATCATTCTTTTGAGAGAGCATTAGTAATCCAAGTCTTTATTACAAACGTGTAAATGACGATAGATGAATCACAAGTTAGGAGAGGTGTAAAAGTAATATTAGTATTGAAAAGAGTGGATGGATCAGAGGTGCATATAAAATTGCAGACTTAGCATCTGGAAAATTGAATCTTTAAAAACATACTAGATACATGGCAAAAATGAAATTTTCTTGGAAAAATTTTAATTCCAAAAACACCTGGATTGTCTAAATTAATGTACAATGCAAGTATTATTGAAACACCTGAAAGAGTCAGCAAAGAAGTTGATCGCATTGTTTTTGACTTCATACGAGAGAAAAAAAAAAGGAAAAAATAAAAAGATTAACTCTCATTAATTCTTATGAGTGCGGTGGTATTAGGGCCTCTGATTTTAAATCCCAAGTGCTTTCCTTTAAATTATCTTGGGTAAAACGTTTGTATAATGATGAAGTAGCAAATTGGAAACGCTTGCCAATGATGTACTTTAATAAGCTTGCCCCAAGAAATATAATTGAAAATATATCGCATATGAATTGGAATCAAAAACCCTGCAAACAAATACACGGTTTTTACTTGTCATTACTTCATGCATTAGCCCAATGTAACGAAAGTTTAATGAAACATCCAACATGCTATGAGGACATTATGGAGCAACAAATTTGGGGAAGCAAATTAATAATTTATAATGGATTTTCTCTCTTATATAGAAACTGGATTAGATCCGGTATTCGCAAAATGAAAGATACTGTTATTGGTTACGACTTCATTAATTCAAATAAGCTATTATTATTGTTAAATAATAAATCAAATTAGATATCAGAATTTTCTAATTTAATGATGGCAATTCCACAGGACTGGAAAAATATTATATTCTCAAAAAATGAAAATGTAAAACATAATAATACACAACAAGTAGTAAACAATTGCTGCAATATGAACTGTAAACAAATTTATAATTGTTTTGTATCAAAAAAAAATGTTTAGAACCTACAAATTCTCAAAGTGGCATAACTTTCTTAATACAGAATTTGACCGGTAACTTACCTGGTCATGGAAAGTGAAATCTATCAAAGAAAACAAGCTCAAACAGATAAACTATAAAATATTGCACTGTATTGTTCCTACCAGGAAAAGGTTACATAGATGGAAAATTATCGAGGATAATACATGTCCAAAGTGCAATGTTGTTGAAGATGACGACATTTTTTTTATTGTACAGAATCACATGACCTGTTGAATATTATTAATCATTTTAGCCTTATTAATTATGGTATTGAAGCAAATTTTAAAAGTTTTGTGCTTGGTACAGGAAACGTTTATATAGACCATCTGTTTTCATTAGGAACGTTTATATAGACCATCTGTTTTCATTAGGAACGTTTTGCATTTACAAAGCAAACGTCCTAAAACATCTGAACAAATGGTGTTACAACTTTTTATGATGGAAAAACATATTCGAAAATATTTTGAATAACTTTTATCTGAACAACTCATTTTAAAAACGTATGCCAAAAATTTCTCCAGTATATTACATTGCCATATTGCATTATAGATGATTGTGTAACCACAACGTTGCTTATAAAAAATGTTTTGTCTTTGTGATGAATAAAGGTGGGATGACCCCACAAAAGAAAAAAAAAATAGGTTTGTTACGTTGATTGATGCAATTGGAGCTGACAGCAATTGCGACGTCGTGAAATAAAAGATAAAGAGAACAGTCAAATAGAGATGATTTAAAATAACAACTGGATTGTGTTGACTTATTTATTTGACAGTTCATCTCTGGTGATCATGGGAAATGCAAGAGTTGCTCTCGCGAACGCTCGCTGTTTTATGATGAAACAAGATTAAAGTAAAAAGGCAAACCAAAACGAACTATCAAGAAAATAGAGCTGCCCTTCTTGGACTTATTTAACGCGTTGATACTGATGAATGCTGCAACATGGAAGGGAACATAGAGAACAATACAGACTTCACTTCGATTTGTGTGTTTCCTAAAACTTTGTCATTTCCTTTTGGATTTGTAACACTTTGTATTATGATAGGAAATGTATTCGTAATTGTTTCTGTCATTAGAATCCGGTCATTGCGTCAACCGTGTTATCTAATTCTTGCTAGCATGGCGTTGGTGGATGTATTAACAGGGATTATTGGCATCGTAGTTGTACTCCGTCTTGCTCTTCACGGACGCTTTTTGTACCTTGGAGAAACAGTAGGATGGATTCTTCAGAAAATGATGGTATGGTCTATAAGTTTGTCCTTTTTTCATCATCTATATTTAGTTGCAGAGAGATATTTTGCTATCATGCATCCATATATGTACATTGTGAAAGTACACACTCGATCGGTAGTAATGTTTCTAATTGTTACGTGGACCATTGGACTACTCTATTTCGCTATAATCATCTCGCCATTGTACAATGAGGATATGTATAACGAATCCAATTTCATTTTCAAGATAAGTATTATAATTCCAACGTACGCCTGTCATCTGCGTATATATTGCGAAGCGAAAAGAAAAGCTCGTCAGGTGGTGTCATCTTCAACCAGTCAGGCAGTACAACCCAAGAGAAGCGACTTCAAAGCAGCGCGGGTAACTACAATAATACTTGGTGGTTTTAGTATCTGCATACTGCCTTCATTATTTCACAACATTGCTTTTCTAACCCAAGGCGAAAAAACTCGATGCACACTCTCATATTTTCTTTCTTTTTTGTCGATATACATTGATTCTATGTTAAATCCAGTTGTGTATGGTATTTGTAACAAGACATTTCGTGATTCTTATAAAAATATGTTTCATAAAATAATATGTAAATAGAATTGGCCAGAAGAGCTAATTCATTGTTGTGTTGATAAGATTTTAGAATTTATCATTGAGCTGCACACTCAGGCATGGACATGTTTTGATGTATTTGTAAAGTTTAAAAGAAGAAAACACTGCACCTCATAGAATTTCTAATTAAATATGAATGGTGTTTGATGGACATGAGTATGACACACGAAATGCTGATTCACTACCTCTAAAAGTAGATTTCAAAATAACCAAGACTTCACTTATATATATGCTTGTGCAATGTATAGATTACACTGCTGAATATTAAAAATATCTTCTAATTATTTAAATTTTAAATTAAACTATAAAAATAGAATTTATAATTAATACAATATAAATTATGCTACCACTTTTAAATACTCATAATTATAACTCTTACACTTGCATATAATTTTATTAATGTTTTGACTCAGCTGTTTCAATTCTTAATGATCTTTTCACTACTAAATTTTACTATTTTAATATCTTGATTTATATATATATATATGTATGTATGTATGTATATATATATAT